CAGAATTGTAAGGAGCCCCAAATAGCCAAAACAATCTTCAAAAAGAATAAAAACATTGAACAATTCCCACTTCCCAATGTTAAGACAGAGGTCCAGGTATCAAAACAGTACAGTGCTGGCATAAGGACAAAGACATAAATGGAATAGAATTGAGAATCCAGAAATAAACTTATACGTCCATTGGCAAGTAATTTTTCAAAAAGGGTATAAAATCCATTCAATGTGGAAAGATTATTCTCTTCAACAAATGTTGGGACGACTGAATTTCCAAGTGTAAAAGAATCAAGTCAGACACTTAGTTTACAGGATATGCAAAAATTAACTCAAAGTAGATCAATGATCTAAATATCAGAAGTAAAACCATAAAACTTCTAAATGGGCAAATTGTCACAACCTTGGAATTGGTAATAAAGTCCTAGATATAACACAAAAAACATAAGTAGCAAGAAAAACAAACAGATTGGATTTTATCAAAATTAAATCTTTTGTGTATCAAAAGACATTGTCAAGAAAGTAAAAAGAGCCAGAGAGGCAGGCACACACCTGTAATCCCAGCAGCTACAAATTAATTCAAAGCCAGCCTTAGCAACTTGGTGAAACCATGTCTCAAAAAAACAAAAAAACTGCTGGGGATGTGGTAATACCTCTGAATTCAATTCCTGGTACAAAAAAAAAAAAAAGAAGAAAAAAGATAATGTATCTATAGCACAGAAGAAAATTTTTACAGATAATGTGTTTGATTTAAAGTTTAGAATAAAAATTTCTACAACTCAATAACAAAAGGACAAAAAAGAATGAAAAATACGCAAAGAACTTGAATAATGACTTTGCCAAAAAAAAAAAATAGTCAATAAGCACAGGAAAAGATGCTTAACATAATGATTGGGAAAATGTAAAAGTCTCATTGATATAGCTACTGTAAAATCTCAGAGGTTTCTAACACTTGCCCCAACATATTAATTAGAATTATGTTTGCTATAAATGTGCATTCTCCTTCTCTACACCCAGAGATTCTAGGCCAGTGGTACTGATGCAGGTAGTCTAAAGAACACAAAACTGTCCTCAATTTTCAATTTCTGAAATCCTAAATGCAATTAACTTCACTTCCTCTCAGTAACAAAAGAACCACCACCATGTTTGGAACTAGCTGACACCTTAAACTGCTGCCTCTCAGATCACAAGCACAGGTCCTTTCAGTTTATTTACTCATTCCCACACTTGCTAATTTTGGAGACCTCCAGCTTCTTGACCAAATCCTTTTCTTGATACAGTTCCTGATCTCATTTCCTTTCCTGCCCAAATTGGAACACAGTTTCTTAACCCCTAAGTCCCTCACAGCCTTGTCTCTCATCTATACACTCCACATATCCCCATCTTTGCATAAATCTTACAATGAAGTAACATCTCAACGTCTATGCCTTTATCACCTAATTGTTGATGGAAGGGGGAAAAAAACCCCCCACTTACCTCCACTCTCCCTTTCAACCAACCACACTAGAGTGCGCCAATTTTTATTTCTAACACTTCTGAAATCTATTCTGTAACCTCCTATCCATTACTAACACCTTAGTTTAGACCCATTTCTCACCTGGAATACTCTTCACAGAAATAGGCTTGCTTCTATTATCACCCTCAAATTCATTCAGTGATAAAGGACAAAACAGACCAAATTCCTTCCATACCTGAAGCCCAATATTGCCTCCCTGGCTATAAAACAAAGGCAAAGCTCCTCTAACAAAGGCCTTAGTGATCTGAACCCTAAACAAACAACTCTCTACTCTTTTTTAACTCTGATAACCACCATCATAGATTAGTACTCCAGTTATGCCAACTTACTCATCCTCTACTTATCATTTCCTTCTACCTGATATAGCATATTCTTTTACAGTTTCTTTTATGCCTATTTGTTCTTCAATATATCGCTCAGGAATAATTATCCCTACCCTTTGTTTTAATTCCCTCCAGAAAGTCAAATGTTCCCTCTTCTCTGTTTTCTGTTTTTTCTTAAAATATTTTCCATTATTTTTCAGTGGTGTATTATAGTTGTATAGAAAGGTGGGATTGTTACATATTTTGGTATGTTCTTCTATTACTGAAATTATCACATGCACTGAGAGTATAAGTTTTCAAAGTCTGATTCCTCTATTAACCCATTAAGTCCCAAGTTTTCAATTCAGTGACTATGTCAACAAAATTGACACAGGTTTATTGAAATAGATTGGAAACCATAATCTAGAACTTATATAGCCTTTATTATCTTAATAACAACACTACAGATTATTCTATAAATAGGACACTGGGACAATATAATTTTCTCAAACATTCATAAAAATGTTTTCTGCAACACATTTTTTGCAGTACAAAAATACAGGTCATAATTCGTTAACAAATAACCACAAGCAGAAACATGTTAAGAATTTGTCAGGCAGCAGTGCAGTACACAACACATTACTATACAGTATACATTGTCCCAGAGTCCTATTTATAGAACAGATACTTAATGAAAATTGATAAAAAATTTGATATACTGTGCATGCCTTGAAATAAAATGACAACTAGTTCTAGAAATGAAATAAAATGACAACTAGCTCTAGGTTAGTTCTGGAAAATGTTTTCATGAATGCATTTCTTACATTTGTATCAGTTATGTAGGTAACATTTGGTTCAGTTTAACATTTAGTAAAAGTAACTTCCACAGTAAAGTTCATACCAATTTACAATGAAGTTAAAAATATTTTTGAATGCACTTATCATTCATCTGTTACTTTTATCAATAGAACTTTAAAAACAATATATATTTCAAAGTTAACAGAAGTAGTATATATGTTGCTCAATTTAAGCTTTTTTATAGGTGTTCCACATCTGGGATGACAAGATAAAAAGAGCTGAAAAATAAGCCTCATGAAGACAGGACCATTTTTACATCTTTAAGTGGCTAGTAAACTGCCAATCATTTTTTATTTGAATTGGTAGCTATTACATAAATGAAAAATTACCTTTCAAAAATAACCAAATTTGTTTACTCACATAACAAAACATTTGAGTTCTGTGAACAAAGCACCAAGCTCAAAGCTACAAAAGATGTTAAGATAACTAATTTTTTTAAGAACTTAAAAATTTAAGAGAGGGATGTAAACTGTAACTACATTTACAAATAAAGATTCAAGTCAACATTATATCTTTTGGAAGATGTACCTAACTATTATTCCCTGGCAGTGAATTCTCCAGAATGCACATAAAAATCCAGCAATAAGCCAAAATAGGATTCTGGACAGCCAAAACACCTTCATAAAGCTCTTTCCCTAGGGATAAAGGTAAGGATGACCATACAGGATGGCCTAGCATTTGTCCAGTATAGTCCTTTGTTTCAAGTATCCTAAAAAATAAATTATATAAACATCCTATTCTTCACCATAGGGTATTTGGATCATCATTCAAAAGTAGATTTACACTTTACTCCCATTCTAAGATCAAAAACTACTGCTAAAGACTGCTGTTGATCATTAGCATTAGTTGGTCATTAGTGGTGCTTCCCTATTCTGCAAGTTTTTAAAAACATCTTAATCAATCATTTTAATCTCTTATTCTAGGAACATTTGATTGAATGTTAAACTCCAATCTAGCAGATTTAATTGCCAATTTCTTTAAAAAATCTTATTAGACCACTGTTTATACTTTAATAATTTGATTATTCTTTTTATTCTTATTGATTCTTGCTTATTCTTATCTTGTTCATAAATATGTTAACTATGAAACAAACTGATGCTTAAAGGAACCTAGGTTAACTGAAGCAAAGTAGCTATAAAGTAATATACAGAAATTTCCTAAATATTTTCTATTTGGGTACCTAAATAAGTTCTAACCTTTTTTTATAGATCTATTTCACATAGCTGGAAAAAAAAAAAAAGCTGTAGCCACACTGAAGTAAAAGCTTTTCTACATGTACATTAAAACAAAAGTGATTTTTAAAATGTCTAGTTTATATAAGGCGATAGAGTTCTATCATTCTGAGTTCCCTACTTGTAGACTAATAATTGAATCCAAGCAATTCACCTTATCAACAAATTAATACATTCTCTGAAAAAGTCCTTTAAAAACAAACAGAAACAGAGACCTATTCACACATTATATGACAGCAAAACACCTACTATAAACACAGACACTTTTCCACACTCTAATCCTTCCCATTCAATGGAACACTCTCACCCTCATTATACCCCTCTAGTTTAATTAGATTTTGTAAACAACATCTATCATAGACGGAAATCTCTATTCCAGTATGACCTTTCCTTATATTAACTAATACCCTTTTCTAGAAAACACAATAAAAATATTTATTTAGCCTAATATTTCCTTTTTATTCTTTTTTTAAAATTCTGGCCTCATGTAATGGTCAGGACTCTCAGAAATGTCTTCCACCAATTTTAAAAATCTTGATGATTCTTTTTATTCCTTTAAAGAGTTTTGTTTTTGTATGAGGGATGGAACCCAGGGACTCTTCACCACTAGGCCACATCCCCAGCCCTTTTAATATTTTATTTAGAGACAGGGTCTCACTAAGTTGCTTAGGGCCTAGTTAAATTGCTGAGGCTGGCTTTGAACTCACAATTCTCCTGTCTCAGCCTCCTGAGCAGCTGGGATTATAAGCATGTGCCACTATACCTGGTTCCTTTTCTTTGAAGGAACCAGGTATAGTTATTCTTTAACAATAAAATAAACTCAAATACTATCTTTCTATGTTCTTGGTGCATTTTTAAAAGTATTTCACTTCTAAGTATGCATTATCTTTCAAAAATAATTTATAAGTCAATGTAAGTAAGTTGGTCCTTCAAATTTGAGATTTAGTAATACTACCCCATCAATAGATATCACTCCAGCTAAAAAAGCAGACAAAACTTTATAAATGTAAAACAGGACTCCTGTGGTATCCCTAAAAGAGTGCATATAGTACATATAATATTTTTAAATATTGCAAGTTATGATGACATTTTAAATTTCTATCTCAGGGATAATTTCAAAGTAGAGGCTAGATGGATAATAAAAGTTGGGAGAAGGAAAATAAACTAATAAAATATTAGTAGCAATCAGATCCTAACTATGCAAACTGTGGTTCCCAACCAGCAATACCAGCATGACCTGGGGGGTTCTTACAAATGAAAATCTGAAGCCCTACCCCAGACCCGTAGAATCAGATCTCTCGGTGATTTAAAGGCTTCTATAGTCTCATTATATCACTGCATCCTCCAAACAACCTGTAAAAAATGACTAATACACATTTCACAAATGAGCAACCCCAAATTCAGAAGGCTAATAACTGACCCAAAGTCACAGAGATATTAATACCTGATACGATTCAAACTCAAATACACTGATGTATTTTTAAAAATCCTTTCTACAATGTACTCTCTCTCAAGGAAAAAAACTAGAATAGTTTTTTACCTAAAATATTTTGCAAATACATATGTAGTTTCAAGTATAACACAAAGAAATAGGTAATATTAACTTTTATTTTATTCAAATCAATGAATCTACAATGTTACCTTTTCAATATGCATTCATTGTAAAGAAATTATTAATGAGATATTTTACATTCATGTGTGTATACTCTGAAATTCAAAGTGTATACTCTGAAATTCAAAGTGTACTCTACATTTACAGCACAATTCAGACTGGACACATATCAAGTAATCAATAGCTCCAGGTGGTCCGTAGCTATCATATTGGGAAGTGCAGATATACAATTTTTTCCTTAGCAACTTTTTTGTAAACACAAAACTGGCAAGTTATTACAGTAATCAATAAAAAGAAAACAATGAACTCCATGTTAATTCCATGCATATTCTATTCTGATCAGTTAACAAGTTTAGGTGGGCCCAATTCTGCCAAGCTGACCATCAACTACAACCTCTGCAGAATATAATTTAAAAAGCCCTGGGATAGGACTTCACAAAATAGGGTATATATGTAACACTCAGAACTGTCATGTGAAAAAGTCCCAAATCTTCCATAATATCTGAAAACAACAAATTTTTTTTTTTTTTAAAAGAGGGGAGAGTGATGCTTCCATTTTATTCAAACCCAGGAAGAGAGAATATTGTAATTTTAACCACAGGCCCAAAAATAATTAAACAAAAAATAAATAATTCAAATATTCATAATTCTGTTGCAATGAATGATTTGTAAATTATATAGACTCAATGTGATGATCTACTAAAAAGTAACAAAAGCATTAGATTACAATTGTGGAGAAAAAAAGGAGTGACAGATTAATTTATAACTATATAAAGAGGTTTAGAGATTACCAGTGATTAATTTTTACATAACAAATTAAAATAAGTACAACTGAAAATGAAGTAATATTGCATAGTTTAAAATTTGTGACTACTGAATTCATTCATTCTCCTATTATTCAGACTGGACACATATCAAGTAATCAATAGCTATTTGAATAGTTATTTCTTATAAAAATATCTAGAATTAAAAGTCCAATTTTCAAGTCTGTCACAAATTTTTTAAAAAGCCATTTTCTTTTCCACAGATAGTAAATTCAAATAAATAATTCTTTTAAATATATATATACATAATGTTTATCTAATGATGTGTGTACAATATTATATAATAAATATGTATACACATTCTCACACAGGAGAAAAAGGAATGAAGAGTAGAGATTAGGTGATTTAGTAGATAAATCGTAACATTTTCTTAAGAGTTCCAAATTAAGAAATGTAACTAAATACCATAATGTATCTATTTTTTGCCTTCATCACCCCAGTTGAAGACCAGCTTACAAAAAAACACAGGTCACACTTGGAAAACCATATCCATTTCAGCTGAATAGGGTCCAATACTTTATTTTAAATAATTCTTTCCCAATTATATATCATTTCCCTTTAAAAACAATCTATTTACTGCGTTCACAATCAATACTGAAGCATTAAACCTTTACAATTCTTCTCTCCAAGGTGGGGCTTGCATTTTATTTCAATATGGTATGTTCATGTGAATAAATATTGTCTTTTAATTATATCAAATATAGGAGGTTCATGGCCAGCACCATTCTATAAAAAAGTCTCTAATTAAATTTGTGATCTTGGTCAAGTCATAACTGTCTTTGTTACTTCTCCCTACACTATAATTCTGTAATTCTAAGTGCATTAATAGGTATTTAACAAGGGCTGGGGATGTGGCTCAAGCAGTGGTGCACTCGCCTGGCATGAGTGCGGCCCAGGTTCGATTCTCAGCACCACATACAAACAAAGATGTTGTATCCGCCGAAAAGCTAAAATAAATAAATAAATATTAAAATTCTCTCTCTCTCTCAAAAAAAAAAAAAAAAGGCATTTAACAATAGGCTCTGTTTTAATTAACCCGAAAGACAATATGCCACAAACACTAAATAGAATACAGAAATAGGCACAGGTGGTTGTTGCCCAATGTTAATAGGTTAGTTTCTATACTCACAAACATTGTTCCTAATTCAGCCTGTTGTTTCACAAATTCAGATTTCTTAATTAAAGGAAACCAGGCAAGAGAAAAGTCTCAGCACCTTTCATTACTAACAGCAGCGGGGGGGAAAAAAACAAGTATTCAAATACCCCAATAAGCCCTTTGTTAGAAGTTTCATGCAAATACAGAAAATGATATTATTTAAATAGAAAATTGTGAAATTATTTAATCCTATCATTTTCATCTTTTAATTTAAGAAATCATCTTGAATTTTTTCAAAACATATCTGCTCCTTTCTTCTGACAATTCAAGTCAGTGAAAACTGAAACACTTTACCAGGTTTCTCCTAAAAGTAAAAAAAAAAAAAATGTCATTTCCTTTTTAATCCCTCTTGTCTAATGACCAGCTATTTGGAGAAAGTTTTCCTGATGATAATAATTCTACCACTTTCTTAATGGCCAGCAAAAAAAGAGAAACTTTCAAATGTTTAAGTACCAGTCTTTTCCTTCTGTCCACAACTTCCACTGGCCCATTTGACATGTAAATTCTAAATCCAAGTGCTCCAATTAAAATACCCAAGGCAAAACAAACATCCAAAATCTATTTTTATCGTGGCATTCACTCTTTAGTTTTCTCTTTAAAATGAGATTTACTTGACCTATTTTCCTGTGTTTTTACACCACCCAGACATTGAACAAACAATGTGCTAGTCAAAAAACCCCAGCAAAGCCAACATCACAAATCCTATTATTTGTGTGGGTCATTTTCTTCGTGTCCTAATATGCCCCGTCTTTTTGAAGTCTAAATACAGTCATTTACTAAAATGTTGTAGGTCTTCCAAATTTTGTAATTACATACTGCTTTCAATGTCCAAGTTACATGTTCACATCTCCGCTTGAAAAGTACATGTATACACACACACACACACACACACACACACACACACACACACACACACACGTCTGTGTGCGGGGAGTGCCCTGGCACCTGAAATGTCAATCATTCAAAGAACAAAGCCTTTCCTGTCATATCTTAGCTTTCTTCTTCCCCTAAGTTCTACATTATTTAAGTATTTTTAGAACGTAACTTAAAATGTTCAAAACTTGGAAGTACGGGCTTACTAAAATGGCACTTAGGAAAAAAAAAAAAACATATACCAGAAAGACTCACAAGAAAAAAAATCTTGTTGCCAGAATATATGGTAAAGTTTCAGTCGCACAGAGTTTACCTGTGAAGAGAGCTGTTCCATCTCCACACTAAAAAACAATGTTACAGCGTTTCTTTAGAAGTCTTCAGAAAATAAACTAGCGACAACAATGGAAGACCATACTCTTTCAAATAGGATGGAGAGTAGGAAGAGAACTCCGCACCCGGTAACCAGAACAAAGCAACAACCTCGGCTTTAAAGACGCACAGAGGCTGGAGAAGCTCAATGGGCACTCTGGACACATCTCCTGATTATTCCAATGCTTTAATAATCGTCAAAACAACTGATAAAATGCAATGCTGGGTTTCAAATGGGCGAGGTGGAGGGATTCCTCTCTCAGTGTTAGGCAAGCCCCAGAGGCTGAGTAGAGAAGGGAGGGAGAAGAGAAAGCAGCAGCCAAAGACTCCAAGAAAGACAAAATCCAGAGACCGTGCGCCCTGACTTCGATCTGACCCAGGGCCCAAAGTGTTTGACCACACACGGAACAAGGTGCAGGCTATCCCCCAAATCATCGTCGCCCCTAAACCTTGAGGCCAGATGGTGCCCGGGTAGAGGCCTGACACCATCGCCGAAGGGGAGAAGAGGGACCCGCGGCCACCCAAGGCAGCGACAAGGACCGGGCGGAAGAGGCTGCGCAGTAATGGCCGCTGCTCCGCCTCTCGCACCCTGGCTGCGACCAGCTCCGGCCGTCGCCCAGGGCAGGGGCTGAGGCGGCCGCAGGCAACGCAGTGGCCGTCACAGTCTTCTCGCCTGCGACAGCAGCCAAAGCGGGGGCGACGGAAGGGCTGAGCTGTCCCCTCCCGCCTCCGCGCGGACAGTCGGGACCGCGCCGGCCCAAGGGCGTCCATCTACGTACCGGCCCCTGACCCCGCCGCCGCCGCCCCTCTGAGGCCCCGAGCGCAGGGCCGACCCGAAGTGCGTCGCGGCAGAAGGTGACACCGCGGGCTATGCCACCTCTCTCCGAGTTAGGTTCCCCCAGTGACTGGCTTTCACCTTGGCCCCTGCCAGGGCTTCGCCCCGACTCCCACCTCTCTGGCCACAGCCGAGGCCACCTCGCAGTCTTTTCTCTTCGGCCTCGGAGCCCGCAGCGGACGGGGACGCGCGCGGCCGTCACGTGACCGCCCGGCGCTCGCGGGGGCGGGGCCGCGCGGGGAGGGAGCCGCGCTTCGCACCCGCGCGCGCGCGCGCGCGTCTGCCCAGCCTCTGTCCCCACGCTCCTCCCAGGTGCGCGTAGCCACGTGCACCAGCTTTCCGGCAACGCGGTGGCCGTCACAGTGCAGCAATTTCGCTTACTGGATCCTTCTAACTGGTCCCTATTTTACTCTCCTTGTGCATCTTGGCGGCTGGAGGCTCGGGAAGAATGCGGAGCCACTTGCGAGAGATTTAGGGTGGAGCAAGTAAAACCCTCCTACAACCAGGAAGTGCTGCTGCCCCGCTTTGTGACCCTAAAGAAGCCCTTGCGCGCCTCCCCGAGTTTCGGTTTGAAGAGCCTCTAGCAAAAGTACAGTTCCTTTGAAGAAAAACGTAAAAACAAGGCAGGAGGGGGAGCCCACTGAGACGTCCCAATTTATTCACCTTCTGAATGGTTGAGCGATGCAATAGGGGAGGATAAGGATCTTATTGCCCTTTGGACTTATTTTTCCTGACAAAGTAGGGCATGAGAAGCTGGAGGAAGAAATTAATCGGCGTAAGAATCTAAAATTAAAGAAATGAATTGTTTCCCTGGCAAGAGTGTGTTTTTGTTTTGTGTTTTTACGGTGCTGGAAAAGAATATGGTCTTATCAAAACTCTTAGCAGTATTCTGCATTCCGTTTTAGCATGTACAATCAGCAATTTATCCTTATTTTTAGTTAAATGAAGAGAATGAAAGCATGTCTTTTATTATTTACAAGAGTATGTATTTCAACATTGTGCATCAACAGTATCTTCTGTCTTACATTGATGTTGCTTTTTTATTTTATTAACTCATTCAGAATTGGGAATTTAAAGGTTCTTTATATGTACAGAAATATGTACATTTTCTTTTATTTCACTGAAGTCAATTTATTTCAGGATCCATATTCATATATGTAAAAGCCTCTTCAAAGGTGCCGTTTGTTAGGAAAGTGGCACAGGACTGAATCACAGAAGCAAGTTTATTGTCAGGAAATCTGACAAGGCTGTCTCTGCAAAGAGAACAGCAGCAGCACATTTCCTCTAAGCCAAACTTTTATAAGTCAGAGTATGATTTAGGCATTGGGGTTGGGTTTAGCCCTTGCTATTACAGGTGGAAAGCAAACTTCAAAACCTCAGGGAACACAAAGGGGAGGAGACAGGAGGAGCAGGCACATTGTCTGGTAGCCCCTGTACATAGTCATGAAGTAGGCTAGTGTCTGAGCACTGTGTTCAGGGTATAGGTGGAGGTGTCAGCCTCTGTGTGAGTGTGTGGGCTCTTGCAGGAAGGGAAAAAGGGAGAGGGAGCAGGGTGAGGTGTCTAGGCAGAATGGAGTCAGTTTAACTTAACTTTCTAAATTAACCCATAGTTATGTTAACAGGCTAACGCCATTTACTTCAATGATGTTTTCTGTCAATACTATTTTGCTTATAACCTCTATAAATGTAGAAATATTGAAGTGTATGTCCTCCAGATTTAAGATTAGTTTCCTCTGTTATCCATTTAACCACCTAGTTTTACCCCTCCTCCTATACAACCCATGAACAGATAATAGCAAGATTGTGGTATGTATTGAAGTTTCTAGCTTAAAGAAATAATCCTAACTACCAATGTGCATTGTCACATGTGTGCTTTACATGCATAAACTGGTTTAACCCCTACAATATCATATGAATTGGATCTTACTACTAGACTGATTTTAAAGAAACAGGCACAGAGCTAGGATTTGAATGTAAAAGCCTATAATAGTTAACCTAATCAACCCTTTTAAAGAACCAGATAATAAAAGGTTAAATTACTTACTTGAAGACCTTGAGAGAGTTGCAATCAGAACATAAGTATGTTTCCTAGTCCATAAATGATTCTAATTTGAAACGTTTTTGTATTTTTTTATTTGCTCTGGGTCCAGAATTAGAACAGATTCTAGCTGGGCATGGTGAGTAGGCCTGTAAACCCAGGAATTGGGGAGTCTGAGGCAGGAAATCACAAATTCAAGACCAGCCCAAGGAGTTTAGAAAGACTCTGTCTCTAAATAAATAAATAAAAAGGACTAGGTATGTAGCTCAGTTATAAAGCACTTCTGGGTTCTTCTTCAGTACCAAAACAAATAACCAAAACAAGAACAGATAAATAAGTTACCTTCTGTCTTTCAAAAGATGTAAGATAGGGATTAATCAACAGTGTCTAAATAGGCTTCAGCTCTCTTTATTTCAGTAAATGGTTCCATCTTTCCTTCTCCAAACCCATTTTTAGTCTCTCCCCCTCTTTTTGTTCCCATATTTGTTTTGTAAATAATCTATTGGCTCTTCCTTCAAAATACATTCAGGATCTGACTAATGAACACCTCTATTACAATCTACATTATCTCTCATTGGACTATTACAGTACCCCAGGAACTGGTCAATTCTCAACACAAAAGTCAAACCCATTAACAAGGAAGTGATGTCATGCCCTTCCTCTGTTCAAAGTCTCCCTTGGCTTCCCAACACAAAGCAAAAACAAAAGTCTTCCAAAAGCTTTCTATCCTCCCCTCATTATGTCTCTGACCTCACTCAGCCTTGTGTTCCTACAGGACTGTATGCAAGCTCTCAACCCCATATTCTTTGCTGTTGCTCTTTCCTCTGCTTTGAACACTTACTCATTATGGCTTGCTCCTTCTAATTGTGTTCAAATGTCTTTTCAGCCAGTCCTCTACTCCCCACCCTACTTTAAATCCTAACATTTCCAAAATTTCTTATTACCACCATTATGATTTTTTCTCTAATACTTACACAATGTAATATATGGTTTGTTTGGCTTATTCATCTTTATTGTGCTTCTCTAAAACATAAGATTTAGAGGTGCAGGAATTTATGTTATATTCTGGAATTTATGTTATATTCTGAATCCAGATTGCTAAGAATAGTGCCTGCTACAATCTTTGCAAATATGTTGAACGAATATGTGCATACACATGAGATTGTATGTGTATGTATATACATATACACATAAACATACTCATATATATAGGGATAAAAAGTGAACTTCTTTTTATTTGACAGCAATTGCATATAAAGAGAAGAATTGAATGCATACAATACAATACATCTCATTTCCACCAGCCACCTATAAGAGTGGTAAGTTTCTGTCTTTGTATGATACAAGGCAGATATACTCAACATTGTTAAGAGTGTTTTAAGAGTACTTGGTTTCCACTAATTGTTAGAGGCCCAAACTTTTAAAGTATTTACTTAAATAAATAGAGCCTAAAAGATTCAAGATATCTCTGTAATAATGTTCTTGTTACTAACATTTTATTTTGCTTCACTGAAACAAAGATGAAAGAGTTGGCAGCAGATTGCTGGGAATTGTCCTTTATTTATAACTTACTATTTCCTACTAACTCATGAAATACTTTCATGAATAGCACACATCTCCTCCAGGAACCACTCTTTCCCATTCTGTTCTCCCATCACCCAAATAATCTGATATTATTTATTTTATTTAAAGATCAAAGTATTCTCTTTCTTATTTGCTTAATATCTAAAGAAATTCAGGAAAGCGTGCATGGGAAAAATCATATAAGTCTCAGTGGAGCATATGTTGTTTTAGCTAGTATCAGGCAGTAGTTTTCAAAGTGTTGTCTAGTGACTCTGGGTATCCTTGTGACCCTTGCAAAGGATCTGCAAGGGGGAAATTATTTTCATAATACGGGTTGGATCTGGAATGTCCCCGAAAAAACTCACTGTTGAAAGCATGATCTCCAATGCAGTAAGGTTCAGAGTTGGGACTTTTAGGCAATAATTAGGGCTCTGACTTCTTTAGTGGATTAATCCATTTGCTGTGTTAATCCATTGATAGTTGATTGGACTATTAGGTGGTAACTGTGGGCCTGTGTGGCATGGCTAGAGGAAGCAGGTCACTGGGGGCATAGCCTTGGATTATATCTATCCCTGGACCCCTCCCCCCTCTCTCTTTTCTTTCCAGCTGCTTTGAGCAAAGCAGCCTTTCTGTGTCATGTGCTTCTTCCATGATGTTTTGCCTCATCACAGAGTGAAAGAAATGGAATCCTCAGCCATGGACTACACCTCTGAAACTGTAAGCCCAAAATAAACCTTTTCCATTCTAAGTTGTTTTTATCTGGTATTTTGGTCATAGCAGCAAAAAGCTGACTAACACTCATAAAAACACTAAGTCTCTGGCTGTTCTGTTCAGTTGTACTCTCTCCAGAGGCTGTTTGATGTGTGGTATAGCAAAGTTTGAATATAGATCTAGATGTGAGAATTTGCATCTATTAAATCAGACATTAAAGAGACTTGCACAACGTAAAATAATGTCATTCTACTCATTTAATTATCTTTGTTTTGGAAAACTCAGCCATTGTTTATTAAATGACTTATCTATGCAACTACATTAACACTTAATGAGTCTATTCTTTTTAAATGAATTAACAAATATTTTAAACAGTTCTCAGTTTTAATTTATAATTTAGTAAATGTAGATTAACATACAAATAA